GCCGTAAACTCGTTGACGATCCGATAGTCAGTCGGGCTGGCACGGGGGCCAAAGACCTGATCCAACTTCGTCCAAGTAGCATCCTTGTGAGCCAAGGTCAGAGAGCCCGCTCGCCGGGGGGTGATGGATGTAAAAAAGACCAAAAGCCCGTACTCCGTCCCCCCTCGCAGTTGTCTGAAAAAGCGTCCCACCGAGACTTTGGGAAGCACTTTCACTCTGTAGTTAGGACCCACCCAACGACTTACCTGTCTGGTAATATTCGGGTTCTTGGGGAGGGARCGCGCCTCATAGACGAAGAATTCCGTACTGCCTTTCGTGACCACCTTAATGCCTTGCTCCGCCCACCATAGCATCACCGGGCAGACATAACACTCCCCGGCAGCCAATATTTCCTGTAGCGACCCCTTCACCATTGTATTAATATCCATGTCTGTCGGAGGGCCGACAGGCTAGCTGCGAGGTCCACCACCTCCACGTCGTCCGATTCGCCTTCTTTCGCGCCCCCCGGGACCGGGATATGCACATTTGTTGACTCCGCACCCGTTTTTGTGCGACCATAAGGGATAAGGAGCCAGCATTCCTGCTGCTGTCCCAGAGGTGGTTCTCCATTCCTCGATCCATCCCCCGACCCATCCTTTTCCCCCCTTCCCCCCCCACCCACCTCCTCCTTCCCACCACTCTCTCCCGTCCTTTCCCGTTCCTGCCCTCCCCTTTGAAGCGCCTCACTCTCCACGATCTTTCCTCCTAGCGTGCGTTCCTTGCTGTTCCCCCCCACCGTCTCCTCCTCCCCGACCTTCCTGTCTAATATGCTGGCCCGCACACAGTCGAGCATCACTTGCTTGTCTTCTCCCCGTGTCTGCCCTCTTTTGGAGCACCTCACTCTCCCCGACCTTCCCCCCTAACGTGCTTTCCTTTCTATTCCCCCCCCCTCCCTCTTCATCCATCCTTCCCGAAGATTCCACTACCTCCTCATTCGACCAACCATTGGCCTCATTAATGTCCTCCGGCACTTTCCCTGGACTGATCTCATCCAGCCCCACCTGCCCCTTCTGCTTACATTCCCCCCCAAGCTCACGCAGCACCTCCTTGGCTTGCCCTCTCTCCCCCCCCGAAAACTGAAGTGCCTGCCCATCAAATCTGCCCTGACTGTCTTCCCCCTTCCCCTCCAATATCTCCACCTTAGCTGCTTCCTCCTCCGGGGGGGGTGACTGGGCCTCATCCGCCCGTCCTCCACTCGTCTCCCCCCGCCCCCACTCCCTATCCAGTTCGGGCTCGCACGCTTTCCCTTCCCGGCGATACTCCATTTCAGAGTTTACCTTTTCCTTTACTACGCCCGCCCACCGTCCCCGCTCCTCCGGGGGGGTAATCGATGTGTGCTTCGCAGCCCCCTCCTCCACCTTACCTACTTCCTCCTCCGGGGGGGGGGACGGTGATTGGGCCTCATCCGCCCGTCCTCCACTCGTCTCCCCCCGCCCCCACTCCCTATCCAGTTCTGGCACGCACGCTTTCCCTTCCCGGCGACACTCCACATCAGAGTTTACCTTTTCCTTTACTACGCCCGCCCACCGTCCCCGCTCCTCCGGGGGGCACCCGTCGCTCCTGCGCCACAGGAGGTGTCCCTTTGTCCCCCTGTTGCTGATCAGTCCCCGCCACCTTACTCCCCATCCCCTGTACTTGGGCGTCAGTCGGGGTCGGCTGCCCGTGGGCCCTACACTCCTGTTCCACAAGGGTTGCCGGCTTGGTCACCCGTTGTTGCTCAGTTCCCTCCACCTTATCCTCCGTCCCCTGTACCTGTGCATCGACCGGGATCAATGGCTCGTTGGAGCCTTCAACCCGTGAGCCTCGCTCTTGGACA